CTTAAGGAAGCTCATCGACTTCTCGAACAACTGAAGAAGAAAGCTTCTGGTATATCCGATGGGACCGTGATGAAGGCCTTGCCTTTGGCTAATTCTAGTGAAGTTGGCTTTAGTAGTAACTCGCAAGTTGGTATTCCAGTCATTGAGAGGCAAAGAAGTGCAACATAAGTTTCTACATAAGTTTATTAACGCGCTCTTTCCCTTGAAGGAATAATACCATTTGTTAGTTTGATGTTTCCTTTTCGCTGGAATACATTCTTATAAGCTTCACTGAAGATATTAAAGCTACAAGATCCATCAGTCTGCAAAACTTTTATCTACCATGATAAGTCGTTTTTAATATTCAAACCTCTGTCATTATTTACCAGATGCTGGAAATCACATAGCTAAGAATGCTGCTGATTCATTTTCATTCCCAAGTGTATCTGGTTGATATGTTTTGAATCTTCATGTTCAAAGAATGCCAAATTACTGGATGAGTTTAAGTAGTCTCTGGTTTTTTGGGCTTCCAGCAAGGTTCTTTTTATCGTTGCTAATATTGGACTAGGACGAGTTTAAATGAAACGACTTGAACAATGAGTAAGCATATAATCAATTTTAACTTGTTTGAGATCGAAACATAATTATATGCCATGTTCTCTCGTCTAATTCATATTTTGACAAGTATAACTTGTTTGGGATTGAAGGATAGTTAGTTGCTTGTTACTGGTGCTAACTGGTTACTAAATAGCATATGCTTCTAGGTGTTGTTTACAGAAATATAGGAATAAGTGATGTTGGTGCCGACGAAAGTCACGTGGCATAGAAACAGGGAATTTGACGTGGGAATTGACCATGCTACATTTTCGTTTATTGTCTCTTCATTTTGTGACATAAAAATTTGGAACACGCAGAATCTTTAATAAAAAATTTGTACGAGAGAAAGAGAGTTTGAATTACTTTATTTTCGTAGATTGTGAATCTTGAGGTTTGACTTTTTTCTGTTAATACTTTATTAGTGCATTCAAATTGATAAAAAGACTTTCTAATTAAGCAATGGTCTACTTATATCATTTTGATTTTTGGGCTCCACTATCACCTTCTGAAAATATTCAAGAAATGAATAGCCTGCGCATGAGAATTGTCTTCGGTTTGATCTTTGCATAGAGTTGTTTAGCTAAACAATTAACAATTCTACATTAGGTAAGGAGAGATGTCGAAAGCTCTCCAGTTCCATTTTGGATTCATTGACAAAAAAGCTCTCCAGTTTGGTGACTACATAATATGTGTTTATGTTCTTGATAGTATGAATAATTTTTTATACTAATAAGTGAAGCTGACCGGCAACATGTAATATCAAGTATGATATGGTAATCTGAAGAATCGAGAAATAATATGCTATAACTGATTAAATTGCACAGTATTTTTTTAATTTATTTAAAGCTGTTTATCATTTAAACTCTTAAATTATAGATTCCAACTCTTTCCTCTGCTCCAAGACAGCTTAAGGCCAGTTTTGATGTTCACATTTTGTGCCTAGAAAAATGTGCTCTTCAAGTTTGACCGATCATATCTGTGGTGATTATATTATTAACTTCAGAAAAACATCCATTAATATGGCCAAAAAACTTTTGTGATGCTGTAATGGGTCCCTTGCCATGGATTGGACCCTTATCTCATTTCTTTTAGTCTCTCTCTCTGGTTTTCTCGGACTCTCAAGATAAAAAGGATAAGAGATCAAGTAGTCGAGATTAAATAGAACACAATCATTTTCACTCATGACCAATAGCTACAAGAAACAAAATTATTTTGCTACCTAGCCATAATGTCTTAGCTATGATTTTTTCTGAACAGCTATCTCCTATTCTTGTACTAAGAACAATCAAAATATCTTCACTTACAACCATGAACCAAATTTGAAGCAAAAGGTAAAAGAAACTAAAAAAACCATGTTAGTATTTGTATCAGGGAGTCAACTTTGCAACAAAGACTGAACAAACTAACAGATTCCAGATTATACTTAAAATTCAAAGGGTAAAACTGAAGTTTTGGATCTTCTATGTCCAAAAGAAAAGATTGATTTGCGAATTGATCTACTGCTACTTTCTCCATTATTTCTCACCTCTCTGAGGTGTCTATTATGCCTTATCATCTCTTGCACTGACAAATAAACATGTCGGTCCGCCGCAGAGTCCATAGAGAAAGATCTCCTAATTGGCTCAACTGAAAACTGAGCATCTTTCTCTCTTACATTAATGCATTCATCGCCCATAATTGAAAACTTTCTTGTTTGCTGTTTTGTTAACTTTCCAATCCTCTGCTCAAATTTTCTTGAAGAGTGACTTCTTGATTGAGACTGCAACAATTCCCTACTAATAGAGTTACTTCTATTTTGTGCCTCAAGTTCACCACTTAATTCAATCACTACAAAATCTTCTTCACTCCCTAAAATGCTACTTCTTCTAAGAAGTGGAATATGAGGATCTTGAGGTGATGAATTTGGTGCAACAATCATATCAAGTGGATGTTTATTTGTTGCGCCAGAAATACTAGTTCTACAAAGAGGACAACTAGCATTATTTTGAAGCCAAATATCAATACAATCCAAGTGAAAAGCATGGCTGCATTTAGGAAGAAGTCTTAACATTTCATCTTCTTTAAACTCATTCAAACAAACCACACATCTCCTAAAACTTCTTTCACCAACTCTATTTCTGCTGTACTGAAAAGTTGGAATATCTCTTATCACCAATTCGTCGAGTCCTCTGCTTTCTCTTGAAGGGGAATAGCCCATTAAAGGGTCTTCATATTGGCGTGGCCGCGTACTAAAAAAGCGTCTTAAAGGGTCGAATTGTTGCCAGTTGATGCAGCATTTAGAGACAAAGATATAGTAGCTGACTAGCAGAAAACCAATGGCCATAATTCCTAACATTGCAACGCCAATTATTGGGAAGCCACTGCTTGAAACTGCACCCATTGGAGGTTGAGTTATACTAATGTTATTCTGCTGGTTTTTGAATGAAAAAAGATGTCTTGGTGCTGCATCCATTAACACTATAAAGAAGATGTATACAATATATATGCTTGTTATCTATGAGAAAAAGATGTTTGAAAAGAGATGAATGGTGTAATAATATGATGAGATCTAAGTTGAGTCACATATGTTTTGTATGAGTGAAGAAAAAGAAGCCAAGGAAGTGGAGAAAAATTTTCTTATGGAGGAACAGGTCAGAAATGAAATAGGATGAATTTTATCAACAGCTCAAAACTTGGAAAGTCAAATATGAATAAATAAATAAGATCATTGAATGAAGTGGGAGAGTTTTGAGGAACACATGCACTTAGTTATTATGTGTAATAAGTGCTGTTCAAGAGAGAGAGAGAGGTGTTTGAAAATGCAGAGACATGGAGATGGGAGTTGGAGTGAACAGAGCAAGTTGACTCATTTTAAACTGCATTAGTAATAGAGTATGAAGCAGACAAGTAAAGTTTAATGGGTTTGTCATCAAGACTTCACTAGATTTGATATATTACATCACATTTCCTCTTGGCTGGTCCTCCTTTTTGTTTTCTCTTTAATTTGCATTGTGTTATGGAAACTAGGGGTGTATTTTGGGCAAACCCGAAATCCAAATTTTTTGGATTTTTGGTTTGGATTTTCCGATTACGGATTGAATTTTGGATTTAATTTTTTAAAATTTTGAATTTCGAATTAGATATTGGATTTGGTACTTCGAATTTGTTGATATCCGAAAATTCAAAATTTTATACTTTATATTTAGTCCATTATCCATATGCCAGTAGTAATAAGTTCGATACCCTACCCATCAGATGTTATCTCATATATTCACTATTAATTACTAAGTTACTATCATAATATTTTCTATTTGGATATGGTTTTACTATTGCTACTTCTTATCATGCGTATTAATGTCTTTGTTGCATTTTCTTGATAATAATTTCATTACTTGAATACTTTATTTGAATGATTGCGGTGATAATGAGGAACCTTTCAGGTAATTTAATATGAGTACTTCATTTGGATATTCATTTTTGTAAAAAGAAGAAACATCTCAACTTATAAGCTCAAACCCGAAAATCCAAAATTGTCCAAACCGATTAATCCGAAACCGAACTTAAAAAATCCGATACAATCAGAACTTATTTGGATTGGATTTGAATTGTCATTTCTTTAATCTGAAAACCAAAAATCCAAACCGAAATTTTAAATTCAATCTAAACTGCCCGATCGCCCACCCCTAATGGAAACCTAATTCTTCTAATTGACTCAAAAGAATTGTCAAATAATATAATATTTAAAGTTTAACTTTAACTTTAACTTTAACTTCTATACGTAGATAATATAAAGTTATTTTTTTACTATTAAGTCATCTAAAAGATACTTGTAAGTATCCGTTTTTATATTTTTTAAAAAAAGAATTAATTGATAAGACATGTTATATGTTATAAAAAGTTAAAAATATTGCACTAATCGATAGTGTAAAAATTTCTTATACTATCAATTATATAAATATGTTTATATGTATTTTAAAGAATTTTTGAAGTACTATGTACTTTGAAATTTTAACTTGCTATATCCTACCTTTATAGATCTTATTTATTTGTTATTGTCAAGAAAACTCTTAAGTATATAGATGAGTAATTAAAAGTTGAAATTTACATATCCGTGGGATGGAAGTGAGAACATGGTTTTCTTGTGTAGATAGGTAATGGGATGAGTCATGAATGAAGGAAATATGGGCGCCTTTTAATCATTCACAATATATAAAGGGAGTAGTACTTGAAGTATGTTGCACGATTCCTATATTCTACTAGGTGTGATGCAAAAATTTGGAACTGGAAAAGACATGGACCCAAACATCAAACGGACTCCAATCTTGCCGACCAATTGGCCCATGCGATTCCTAGCGTGGTGACCTCATCAACACTGCTTCCATTTTCCGAACTTCTAGTAACCAAGGTATCAACTACTTCTAGTTTTTTCCGTGCATCTTCCATTTTTTGGTTTGGGTATACGGTCAAAATCGAGTTTGTTCTTCGTGCGACTAATCAGGACCGGAGCATAATGGACCGAGGTTCATCATTATAATATCGAGCTGTGATGTGAAGTTGGAAGGTCGAGCTCGAGACTCAGATACCGATCAAATACCGAGGTCAAGTCAAGCTCGAGCTCGAGACCCAGAGACCGATCAAATACCGAGATCGAGCCAAGGAACAACAAAGCCGTTATAGCCTCATTTGGGGAGAGAATCTCGGCTGAAATCACGACTTGAATCAAGGAAAAGCCAATTAATTAACCTATCATGGGATCCCTACTATGTATTTTTAATTATATCCAAAGTAGGATTCCTCCACTATATTAGGAATGGCTAACATTTGTAAAAGGGGAGGCAGATACATTCTCACATTCAGAGATTATTGAGATTTATAACATATAGTCAAATATTATTCTTTTTTGGGCTTACGATATTGATTTATCTTGTTATTTATCAATCATTCTATATTCAATTTAGGTTTGTATTCATTTATTTTTACAGTCATTATACAATATATTTCTACTTATTTTTCCAATTTGTATCAAGTTATACTACGTATTCTTAGAACTACGTATAAATTCAACTCTATCCGTTTTTCGGGTTAACAGTTTGGCGACCACCGTGGGGCTAAGGATAACAATGGTTATTTGGTACGAATCTCTGCAAAACACACCATTTTACACTTGCTCTTGGAATTGTCTTTGATTTCAGGTTAAAAACGATGAACTCTCAATTAATGGCCCTACCTATCGACAACGAAGTTGGCCTTCAAGATGAGAACAACAACCTGACGACCGGGGATGAAAGGCCACGTCGATCCCGTTGGAACTCGAGCCTTAGATCCAATTGATGTCAATTCACATGTGGCCATTGAGGCGAACTAATGTTCTGACCCCGAAAACAACATTCATGGTGGAACTCGATCTGCAGTTCGAAATACCCAAAATGTTGGAGAAGACTGGATCAGCCTGCGTATGATTTTTGAAATGTTGCAAGCTCAACAGGTAGCAATAGCTCAGTTACAGAGCCAAACCCAGACACCAAGCAAGACCGAGCCCGGTCCACCCTGAGAAGTCACCTACAAAACGGGTCCAACTATAGTAAGATCAAATGTACAAGAATCGAGAACTAATCCCAAAATTATTAGGATGCTCGAGTAACTGACAAAACGAATTGAGTTAGGAGAAAAGAGGATTGAAGCAAATGACAAAAAAGTAGAAACTTATAACTCCAGGATTGATCAGATCCCGGGGGCACCACCGGTATTGAAGGGCTTAAATTCCAAAAAATTCGTACAAAAGCCTTTTCCCCCGAGCGCAGCTCCCAAACCGATCCCCAAGAAGTTCTTTATGCCCGAAATTCCTAAATATAATGGGATGACCGACCCCAATGAATATGTTACCTCTTACACATGTGCCATTAAAGGGAACGATCTAGAAGACAACGAGATCAAATCCGTATTATTGAAAAAGTTCGAGGAAACCCTATCAAAGGGTGCAATGATATGGTTTCATAATTTACCGCCTAACTCTATCGATTCTTTTGCTATGCTTGCAGATTCTTTCGTAAAAGTACATGCCGGAGCCATAAAGGTCGAGACCAGGAAGTCGGACCTTTTCAAGGTAAGGCAAAAAGATAAGGAGATGCTAAGAGAGTTCGTATCTCGTTTCCAAATGGAATGAATGGATATACCATCGGTCACGGACGATTGGACTGTTCAAGCTTTCACTCAAAGACTGAACGAAGCTCGATGACTTCACGACAGTTGAAGCAGAACTTAATTGAGTACCCGATTGTTACCTGGGACGATGTACACAATCGATATCAATCGAAGATTAGAGTCGAAGACGACCAGTTGAGTTTTGGGTCCGTCATTAAAAGGGACATCGACCGAGAACCAAGGACAAGGACCGATATCGGCCGTATAACGAAGATCGTAGGGGTAACAAACCTGCGCGCAACTTCGTACAAGGTGAAAGGAGAAGTGATCGAGGCCAAGGGTCTCGGGGGCTGATGAACAAGAATGGGTTTGACAGAAGGAAGCACCATAGTTATCAGAATATAATTTCAACATCGATGCAACCGCCATCGTGTCGGCTATCGGACGCATCAAAGATACTAAGTGGCCTCGACCTTTGTAGTCCGATCCAGCCCAGAGAAATGCCAATCAAATGTGCAAGTACCATGGCACCCATAGCCATATAACTGAAGGCTGCAGGCAGTTGAGAGAGGAGGTAGCCTGGTTATTCAATGTAGGGCATCTTCGAGAGTTTTTAAGTGACCGGGCCAAAAACCATTTCAAAAATAGAGATTTTAATATACAAAACAAACAAGAAGAGCCACAACACATCATCCACATGATCATCGAAGGGATCGATATCCCCCATGGGCCGATGCTTAAATGCACTAAGATGTCGATTGTAAGAGAGAAGTGATCTCGGACTCAGGATTACACACCTAAAGGAACCTTGTCCTTTAGTGACGAAGACACAGAAGGAATCATGCAACCCCATAATGATGCAATGGTAATATCTGTACTTATGAATAAAACTCAAATTAAGTGTGTGCTAATTGACCCAGGTAGCTCGACCAACATCATTCGATCAAGGGTCGTAGAGCAACTCGGTCTACAGGATCAGGTCGTGCCCGCAACCATGGTACTAAACAGATTCAATATGGCGTGTGAAACTACTAAGGGCGAGATAATTTTGCTAGTAAACGTGGCTGGGACCATCCAAGAAACGAAGTTTCACATGATCGAGGGTGATTTGAGATATAACGCCTTATTCGGGAGGCCATGGATCCACAACATAAGAGCAGTACCCTCGACCCTTCACCAGGTTCTGAAATTCCCAACATCGGAGGGAATCAAAACGGTCTACGGGGAGTAACCGACCGCATAAGAAATATTTGCCATCGATGAAGTGATTCTGATATCTTCACTATCATCCACAAAGGGATCAGATTTGAAGAAGAAACGGGATATCAAATAACAATTACAAACGTCAGCCGCGACCCAACTAGAGAATCAGAAGACTGACAAAGATGATGACTATGGGACCCCTCGATCCTTTGCGGTCCCCGATGACTCCGACGCTACCAAATCAACAGTCAAAGAATTGGAGCAAATCATGCTAATCGAACATCTGCTCGAGCGAAAGGTATACCTGGGCACGGTGTTAGATTTCTAGTGCAGGAAAAAGCTTATTCAATTTCTTATAGCTAACATGAACTATTTCGCTTGGTCCCATCTTGACATGACAGGGATCCCACTAGAAATAACCACTCATAGACTAAGCTTGGATATGAAATTCTATCCGGTAAAGCAAAAAGGAAGGCCCCAGTCCGAGGTCAAACATGCCTTCATCAAGGACGAGTTAACCAAACTTGTTAAAATAGGA